GAGATGTAGACGTGGTTTTGGAAATGTGTACTATAATTGTCCAAAAATTACAAAATGGTACTAAATTTGTTATTGGTTGAAGGAATAAGACTGGAATCCTTAAATTTGACACTGAGGCCTTCGATGATATCTTGAATTGAGATTTGGAGGTGGTTTTGGAAATGTTATATTTTTACTAAAAATACTAAATGCTACTAATTTTAGTATTGAGTGAATGTTTAGAGGTGGAATCCTGATATTTGATAGAGATAGAGGTAGTTTTGAAAATGCATACTAAAGTAGTTCAAACGGCACTAAATGAAGGGATAGATCTAGAATCTCGTAATTTTGTATTGAGGTCTCAGATGGTATATGGGCTTGAGATATGGAGGTGTTTTGGAAACGTCCACTAAAATTTTGCAAAAAGTACAAAATCGTACTAAATTTGACATTGGATGAAGAAATGGAGTTAGTCTAAAGCTGAAGAGGAAGAGGTTTTGGAAATGTGTACTCTAGTTCTACGAAAAGTACTAAATGGTACTAAATTCGGTATTGAGTAAAGGAATATAGCTGGAATCCCGAAATTTAATATTGAGGGCTCTGTAGGTATCTGGTGGTGGTTTTAAAAATGCGTGCTATGATGTAGCGTGCTTGCTATTTTAAAATAAAGCCAGTAAAGAAAGTCTTAAAGTCAGGCGGGGCCGACTGTATGATACCCTACACCACTTTGCTAATTTAGTGGAACTTCGCATAACAATTAAAAGTTTTTATGGGAGAATTTAATCATACACGCTATGATTATAATTATAATTTAAAGTTCAAAGGACAAACTATGCCGAAGCATTTGTATCTTTTAAATTCGGACTTGTATTGCCCATTTGGTGCACAATTAATTTGAAATCGGATAAAAGTATATATGGGAGCTATATCCAAATCGGAACCGATCTCGATAAAGTTTGGTAAAGATATTTCTGAGCTACATTTGATATATTTCCCTGAATATCGTTGTTACGGAGTGCATATTACGGTTGTGGGTAACAAATATAACAAATCGGATGAACAGTATATATGGGAGCTACAGCTATATCTGAACCGATCTTCACCAAATTTGACATACTAGCTTCTATACTCAATTCGGTCGTAAGTGCCAAATTCCATCCCATTTGGGCAAATATTAGACGTTTGGTGCACAATAGAAAGTAAATCGGACGAAGTTATATATGGGAGCTATATCCAAATCTGAACCGATCTTTGTGAACCGAAATTTGTGGAACCATCTGTAGTGGAGGATTTTATACATTTTTTTAAATAGTATCTGAAGTAGGTGTTTTTATAAGAATATTTTCCCGTTGAATATCCGTGGTGGACATTTTTTTTTTTTGAATATTCATGAATGGTAATTTTTCTTAGGAATAATTTTTATTGTTTCACGGTGTAATAATCCAGACATTATACCCTCCATGAAATAAAGCGGCACTCACCATTTATAATGCAAATAACATTTAATCTGAATTCAATTATTGCCTCTAATTATAGAAATTACCCACACAATGTTTTTTTTTATTTCAAAAATATTCCCCAAAGCAGGTGTCGTTAAATATATTTTTGCAAAAAAAAAAAAAAGAATTTACAATCAAATTGTCCCTGCAATAAACCTTCAAAAGAATTAAACAATTTCTGGTTATAATCTGGGCAACATTCAAGCTGTGAATTTACGTGTTTTTTTTTTTCCTGAAATAGGAAAGAGTTCACAATTTGTGGTGTTTGTTTTAAGCGTGTATCTGTTTGAAACAATACGGTTGAGCAGAAAACATGTTTTTAAAAAAAATTCTGGTATCAAAGTTTTTTTTTTTTGTGGCGTGAATAATATCGTCTTCAATAAACTTGCAAGGCAAAAATCATTTTTGCTCTGTTACCACGTCCATGCAAGCCCATAGTGGCTAACTGGACAAACTGCAGCTGAAAGTGGCGCTGATAGCTGGCTGGTTATGGGTGATGCTGGGTTTTTTTCTTTAACTTGGAATGTCGGTTATGAGTGTCACGAAAACCAGTTAAACTTTGCGATTGCATATTTATTATCAGCAGAGGCATCAGCAGAAGCAACACCATCATAGCCAGAGCTATTATTTCGTTGGTGAAGAGGTCTAAGTACTGCAACTGTCGTCAATGGCTTGACAATTGAATCGTACTTCTTTAATTTATTGCCTCCCTCATCCCATCCCATTGCTTTTAATAACCCATGCCCATCAATGCGCTACAGGGTATTCCTTTATTTGGTCATTAGTTTGTATCAGTTAGGAGGAATCCATAGAGATTCATTGTTCCATTCATGGACACCAAAATATTTCTTTAATTTTGGAAATGGGAAATAGTTAGGGGGGGATTTATATTCAGAGAATGTGGCATAATTTATTTTTCTTTCAAAAAAACATAAAAAATATTTTCTATTTTTCCCGCAACCCAACATTTCTAAGAAAGTTGGGGCTCTAAAAGATAATTTGTGGCGTTTTGGCCAATATCGTTTTGAAAAGAGTTTTTCATTTCTTCAATAATTCTGGATCTTTTTTAAATACAACTTTTGAAATATTTCAATACTCGATTTTTAAATATTTTTTTCAAATTCGTGGACATTTTAAAATCGTTTTTTTTTTAATTCTAGTGGATATTTAAATATATCTTTCAATATTCTGGCAATACTCAAGGATTTAAAAAAAATCAATGCTTGTAGATTTTATATTTTTTTTCAATACTCGTGGATTTTATATATTTTTTTCAATACTCGAGGACTTTATACTTTTTTTCAATGCTCGTAGATTTTATATTTTTCAATACTCGTGGATTTTATTTTTTAAATATTCGTGGATTTTATTTTTTAAATATTCGTGGATTTTACAATTTTTTTCAATACCCTTGGATTTTAAAATTTCTTTGCACTGCTCGTGGATTTTATATATTTTTTTCAATACTCGTGGATTTTATTTTTTTAAATATTCGTGGATTTTAAAATTTTTTTATTCTAAGGGTCTTTGAAAAAATGTTTTTAAAAATCCCCGCATGATGCCTATGATAGTCCTTTAAAAATCCATATTTGGTGGCTCTAATGTCCTTCAAAAAAATATTCTTAAAAATTCGCGTTTAGTAGTTCTAAGGGTCTTTAAAAAATTCTTTTAAAAATCCTAGAATGGAGGCTCTGATTGTAATTTAAACATCGACGTTTGGTAGCTCTAGATTTCCGAAAAAAATATTCTTCAAAATCCACGTTTTGTGACCCTAATGGACCTTTAGAAACCAAAGTTTGGTAGCTCTAATAGTCCTTAAAAAATTCTTAAAAATCCACTTTTAGTGACAATAGTGGATATTTTCTAATGGTCCTTGAGGAATATTCTTAAAAATCCACGTTTTGTGAAACTAATGGTCTTTGTGAAATTATTCTTAAAAATCCAGGTTTAGCGACTCTAATTGACTCTAATCCTGGTTTGTTGGTTTTAATGGTCCTTGAAAAAATATTCTTAAAAATCATTTTTGGTGGCTCAATGATGCTTGAAAAAATATTCTTAAAAATCCGCGTTTGTTGGATTTTATGGTCCCTAAAAATAGGCGTTTGTTGGTTTTTATGGTCCTTAAAAGTATCCTTAAAAATACAAGATCGGTAGCTCTAATGGTCCTTGAAAAAATATTCTTAAAAATCCACGTTTTGTAGATCTAACGACTCTTGAAAAAATATTCTTAAAAGTACGGGTTTAGTCAACCTAATGTATCTCTTCAATCCTCATTTGCTGGCTCTAATGATCCTTAAAAAAATATTCCTAAAAATCTCAATTTTTGAGCACTCTGTGATGTAGGGTATTCCCCCTGTCGATTATGCCTTTGCTTCTAACACCTATTTCTCTAAATCCGCCTTTAGTTTTGCCATAGCTTTCAGCTAAATGTAAAAGTGCATGATGCTGCAATGCGTAAACTTTTTGCTGGTCCGCTCGCTCTGGCGTGTGGCTAATTTTGATTTGTTTACATTTGATCATTGCTGTCAGAGTGACAACGGTGATGATGATGTAGATGATGATGATTATGACGTTGGTCATCATTTGCTTAATGGTTAATTGTTGTTAACTTTATTGGACAAAAGATTCATATCTTCTTTTTTTCTGTTGCTTCTTCTTTACCTACGCATATTTTTATTTAATGTCAATAGTTATGATTTTTTTTTTCTGTTTATTTTTTTTTTTTTTATTCAAAATATCAGCTGAGTTGCATTCCATGAAAGGTAAATAGCAGAAAAAATATGTATTCAATTGTTTGGAATATGTTTTACAAATAGCTTGTCGACATTTTGGTCAAGGATTTTTACTTTGTATGGCCACCCCCGATATGGAAATTATTTGTCTAAAAAACACAAACAACAACAACAACAATGGATAAATGTCACAGCGAAACATTGTTGCACTGGGATTCATCTACATCGGAATGACATTTCATTGATGAGGCAATCAATCATTCAAATGGCGGCACCCTAAATTGGGGTGGTTGTTTGTCAAACAAAAATAATGGCAAGGAAACATTTGCAACGAATTTGATTTCGATTTGGAAAAGAAATTAATTTGATGTGATTTATTGCAAATTTGATATTTTTAGCTGTTTACGGGACTGAAAGGTGTTATTCAATATCATTTTATGCTCCCCAAAATATATGCATCACCCCCTTCCCCTAATGCAAATAAACCTCAGCAAAAACAAAAGACTTAAGACACAAACATGTTATTTTTTTAATCTCTCAAGAATATCTTCAATATTTCCTAAATCCCATTCAAACAAACACAAATTTCCCCATTAATGCATAAACTCATAATTTTATTAGCGCAATGCTTGTTTGCATTGATTTGTTTAAACGATATTCAAAATCAAAATTTCAAGCCAAAAAAAAAAAGAAAATCCAGTTTCATTTAACTGCAAATCCCAACAAAATCTTGCTCCAGAACAAACAATTTCTTTGACAGCAAACAAATTTCACTATAAATAGGCGAAAGTCGAACGGGACAAGTATCCACAAAGTTCTCGACTATCCAAGGATAAACAATCAACCATGAAATTCATCATTGTTTTCGTTGCTCTCTTCGCCGTTGCCTTGGCCGGTAATCCCGAGGTGCAAATTGTCAAACAAGTCAGCGATGTGGGTCCTGAAAGTTTCGAATATGTTGCCGAAACCTCTGATGGTACATACGAAGCTGCCTCCGGTCATTTGGAAAATGCCGGCAGTGAACACGAAGCCATTGCCGTCAAGGGTTCCTACTCGTGGGTCGATGAGAAGACTGGCGAAAAATTCACCGTTGAATATGTTGCCGATGAGAATGGTTACCAACCCAAGGGTGCCCATTTGCCCGTTGCCTAAATGATTACTTTTCTCTAATGGTGTTTAAATGAATAATAAAAAATGGAATGATATGTTAAAAAAATTAAAGAAATGTGTGTCTGAGTGATTTTTAATCGGAAGTTAAACTTCCAAAAATCTTTGATTTAAAAAAATTGGGAACTTTATCTTTTGTTATTTTAAAAAATCCGAATTTTTAAATTAATTATTTTGGAGACTTTTTAAAGAGGAGGATATTTAATGGTTATTTCTGGGGGACTATTCGTATGCAAATTCTTTAAAAATATGTTTTTGTGGGACTATTTACAAACGGATTTTTTTCAGAATATTTTTTGAGGGACCATTTACAAACGTGGACCTTTTTGGAATATTTTTCTGGGGAAAGGTGCATTTTTTAGAAAATTTATTCTGAAGAAATTTAAAACACAAGGATTGTTTAGGAATATTTTTTTCATTTAAAGGCTAGTTTTGTAAATTCTTTAAAAATATGTAGATTCTTTTCAGAATATTTTTTGAGGGAGTATTAACAAACGTGGACTTTTTTGGAATACTTTTCCGGAGATAATTTGTAAAGGTGATTTTTTTAAATATATTTTAGAGGACTCTATAAAAACGTGGATTTTTTAAGAATATTTTTTGAGAGACTATTTACAAAAATGGATTTTTACGAAAACTTATTTAGAAGACTTTTTACCAACAGGGATTTTTTAAGAATATTCTTTGGGGACCATTTACAAACCTGGATTTTTTTAGAATATTTTTTTAAGGGCTGTAAACAAATGTGGAGCTTTTGAAGAGTATTTATGAGGGAGTATTTAAAAAATTGTATTTTGGGGTGAAAACATGGATTAAAAAAATTGTGGAACTTTCAATAAACGTAGATAGTGTTTAGGAATATTTTTTAAAGGTCTATAAAAAAGGTACTTTTTTAAGAAGATTTTTTTAAGGGATATTCCACAAACCAGAATTCTAAAAATAATTATTTTAGTGACTGTTTACAAACAACGATATTTAAAAACTATTTTTGTGTGAATATAAATACATGTAAATTTTTTATTTATTTATTTTATTTATTTATTTATTATTTTTTGGAACTATTTACCAATGCGGATTTTTTGAAATACTTTTCCGGGGATCATTTGCAAAGGTGATTTTTTTTAAATATATTTTGAAGGACTCTATAAAAACGTGGATTTTTTAGGAATATTTTTTTAGAGACTATCTACAAAAATGGATTTTTACGAAAACTTATTTAGAAGACTGTTTACCAACAGGGATTTTTTTAAGAATATTCTTTGGGGGACTATTTACAAACCTGGATTTTTTTTAGAATAATTTTTTAAGGACTGTAAACAAATGTGGAGCTTGTGAAGTGTATTTGTGAGGGAGTATTTACAAAATTGTATTTTGTGTTTTGGGGTGAAAACGTGGATTAAAAAAAATTGTGGAACTTTCAATAAACGTAGATAGTGTTTGGGAATATTTTTTAAAGGTCTATAAAAAGGTAATTTTTTGAAGAAGATTTTTTGAGGGATATTCCACAAGCCAGAATATTTAAAAATAATAATTTTAGAGTCTTTTTATTTTACAAATAAGGATATTTAAGAACTATTTTTGGGAAACTAAAAACTACATGTGAATTTAAAAAAAATTGAGTAATTGTTTGCCGATACGGATTTTTTCAACATATTTTTCTTTTATTATTTCCAAACCTGGATTTGAGAGAAAATTTATTTAAGGACTTTAAACAAATGTGGAATTTTTGAATATTATTTTTGAGGGACTTTTTAAAAACGAGGATTTGTTTAAACTATTTTTCTAACGGACTATAAATACATGTGAATTTAAAAAAAAATAATTTTAGAACATTTTTCCGAAGATCATTTAAAAGCGCCTTGGTCGACTTTGTCGCCATCTATACAACTTTGACAACTCAGCAGAGACGATATCTTTATGTCCACTCGCTGAAGCCTTCGTTCTAATCATCTCTACTCAGTTCATCGATTTGTGATCCTAACGGACCTTTAAAAATCCACGTTTGGTGGTTCTAAGGTTCCTTGAAAAACTGTTCTTAAAAATCACATTTCTTTTGCGGGACTATAAATAAGCGACCGCTACTCAAAGGTCATCTGATACGATTCCGTTGAACAGATTGATAATCCTGCTTTGGTTTTGGGCAGCAAGGTTTCTGTGAAGCATTATTGACAGGAACGGATATCGTTCCTTTCCCATTAGTGTGCTTCCCACTATCCTTCTTTGCCGCCACCGAAGCATATGAGACCAACTGTTGTAATATACACGTCATCACCATCTTCACCGCCTTGATTTGCTTCTTCGCAACCACTGGCTAAGAGGGGACCTGATAGCCTTCGATGCTGCTTATATTTAGCGAAATTGGCAACAAGATACACTTAATGTCCGCTCGCTGTAGTTTTCGTCGCAGTCGTCTCTGCCCTATCCACCAGTTGTTTAACTATTAACTGATAGACTCGGAAGTGCCGATTCCAAGTGTTTAGCAGGTTCGATTTGCTCTTTTTCCTTGCAGTCTTTTTTGAGGGGTGCGGCTGCGTAGACTTAACCCAAGTCTTACCTTGCGTTGCTTGACAGGATGTTACCTCCGGCTCTGGAACTTCAGAGGTCTGTTATAAAGGATTCTTTGTTCCATTCTCCTTCGACAGATGAGCAAGGGTTTCACTATTTTCTTAAGACCTCAACTGGTTTCACTACTGTTTTGCATGTGGGGAGTTTCCTTATTGTTGCGTTAGGATTTGTCCTCTCGAATTTCAGTTTCGTCCTGATAAGCTGCAGCTCCCTATCCGTAAGCTTTGGTGGATGCCCATCGACATATCGATTACAGTAGCTTACTACCTTTTTATACTGACACCCCCTCCCCAAATTTGTCTTTTGCCTTCAGGTAAGTTGGAAGATGGACTATATCGATCCACGATATCGTATAATCCCCATTTAAGATACCTGCCGATATTCGATATTTTTAAGATTTTAGCCACATTTTTTATGGATTTGTCTAGAATTCGACGTGTTAAGTTCTTATTAGGCACTTATGAATATGACAAATTGTGTAAATGGGCCTACGATTGCATACAGCCCCCATATAAAATTACCCCCAAATATTCGATATTTTCATGATTTTGGTCAAATGTTTTCATGGAATAGTCTTCCCTTAACCGAAAATTGTCTATATATGTCTACATAACACCTCAAATCTTTATAATGGTACCCCCTCAATATTCGACATTTAGATGAATTCAGTTAGATATTGCAAGTATTTTGTTCATCTTCAGAGAGAGGGGTTTCCCAGAAGTCTACAGGAATACTTTCCTGATTCATCCCTAACACCTCCATATCCGCAAAGTTCTAACGTATTGTTTGCTGCTGTCTCTTAACGCTGTCGTTAAGAAGGTCTCCTCCCAAGTTTCCCGTCCGCCTCGTCCTGCTAGTGGTAATAGACAATCCTGCATCGCTGTTCAAGTCCGATTTCAAGGTCATTTTTGATGAGGTTGAGGTAATTTTCTTACTTGTAGCTTTGTTGACTGAGGGTGCCAAGACGTAAATACCAACATCAATAGAAATGGAAGTGGTTATTTTTGGTTTTGTTTTTCAAATCTGTCTTCTGAAGGGATTGAGGTTGATCATGGCATAGCCTCAATACCATGGTAAAGACTCGATAACTAATCCTTATATTCCTTGAGGCGCCCAGTTATCAAGGAAGGTCCATTAGAATACAGTCCGTAGCCTGATTGCAAATCTGTAACGCTGATGGGCACGTGGTCGCATAACACCCCAGCGTTAGAGGGTCTTATTTATGTGAGGATCAGCACAGAGGTTTGAGCCAAAAATCGCCTCTTCATAGCATCAGTCTAAGGATCATTGGAACTCGGGTATTTAAGCCAAGACCTCTCACCATACCTGCTGACTGAGAGCGACCAACTGCGAAACGGGTCGCATAGTGGTGAGTGTGTAATAGTGTCTCTCTGGCTTACCTTTTTTAATACAAATAAAGAATATTTTTTTAGAGCCACATATATTGATTTCTTAAAAATATTCTTTCAATGTCCATCAGAGCCATAAGCGTAGATTTTTTTTTAAAATGACCTTTCAAGGACCATATATTCCATTGTGTACTTTATCACTGGAGCCACAAAAGTGGATTCTAAACAAAATGTTTTTCATGGAACATCAGAGCAAAAAAACCTGGGATATCTAGGGCTATTTCTCTAGGGCCCTCAGAGCCAGAAACGTGGATATTTATGAAGCTATGTATATGTCTGGATTTTGGGCTCTTCTGCCCTTCTTTCTTTATAAAATTGAAGTTATCAGATGAAATTGTACGGAAACCCTTCTCAAAACTTGGCATGTTCTTCTTGCTGCCAACGCCCAATGAAATGACAATTGCATAAAGCAAAACATAAAATAAAAAAATAACAAAAATACCGTTGCAAATATTCTGGTTTTACGAATTTCATTGGTTAATTGAAGCACCTTCACATCTAATTAACATTTAAATAAAAGCAGTTCTTGTTTCCTCAAGTGCGAAATATGAATGCCAAATTAATGCAGATTATTATCATTATTTGATTTGATGTGAAATTTATTCTTCGAAATCACATTTCACTATAAATAGGCGAAAGTCGGACTGGACAAGTATCCACAAAGTTTTTGACTGCCCAGGGATAAACAATTAACCAACCAATCAACCATGAAATTCATCATTGTTTTCGTCGCTCTCTTCGCTGTCGCCTTGGCTGGTAATCCTGAAGTGCAAATTGTCAAACAAGTCAGCGATGTGGGTCCTGAAAGTTTCGAATATGTTGCCGAAACCTCTGATGGTACATACGAAGCTGCCTCCGGTCATTTGGAAAATGCCGGCAGTGAACACGAAGCCATTGCCGTCAAGGGTTCCTACTCGTGGGTCGATGAGAAGACTGGCGAAAAATTCACCGTTGAATATGTTGCCGATGAGAATGGTTACCAACCCAAGGGCGCCCATTTGCCCGTTGCCTAAATAAGTTCTTAAATTGTTTAAAAATAAATAAAAGGAATATGGAAAATTAGTAAAACGAAGTATTTTATTAT